GAGGAGAAAAAGAAAAGGGGGGGCAGAAGGGAGAAAGAGTGTGAGAGAGGTAGAGGGAGACAGGAGGAAGCAAAGGTGTGAGGAATAGGATAACCATTCTGCAAGTTTCTTGCGGGTCTCCACTTGTGTTTTATATTGGTGTTTGCCCCTATGTAAGCCGCCCTGAGCCCGCATTGTGGGGAGGGCGGGGTATAAATTGAATTAATTAAATAAATAAAATAAATAAACTGGCCAGCAACCCCAGAATGGCAATGGAAGCTGCAGTGCCAAAAATGAACTGGGAACTGGGACACCCTGAACCGGGTTGCCAATGCAACAGGTAATAAGAGAGCCTTGAAGCAACCTGTCAGGTGTCTCTAAGACTCAGATCCCCAGCCCGCCATAGAAGGTTGCTGCCGAGTGACACACTCTCAGCCCGACCTACCTGACAGGGATGTTGTGAGGATAAAATGGAGGGCAGGAAAACAGTTCAGTTTTGGGTCCAAACAGGGTAGAAATGTATGACATTTGTTATACATCTGATTTTGCCTACAGTTCACCAAACAAACAAACAAAGGATGCTAGCTGTTGCTTCACTCAGTATTGCTGCAACCCATTTGGCAGGTTGAAGAACTGTTATTCAGTATCAAACCATGGTTAAATACTGGGAACACAGCAATCGGGGTAGGTCCCTCATAAGAACATAAGAGAAGCCAATGTTGGATCAGGCCAATGGCCCATCGAGTCCAACACTCTGTCACACAATGGCAGAAAACACCAGGTGCCATCAGGAGGACCAGCCGTGGGGCCAGAACACTAGAAACCCTCCCACTGTTGCCCCCCCCCCACCAAGCACCAAGAATACAGAGCATCTCTTGCCCGAGAGTTCCTGTGTATACCTTGTGGCTAATAGCCACTGATGGACCTCTGCTCCAGAGGTTTATCTAATTCCCTCTTGAAGCTGTCCATGCTTCTATATTTTAATTCTCCATGCTTATAGCTGCCACCACCTCCTGTGGCAGTGAATTCCATGTGTTAATCACTCTTTGGGTGAAGAATTTTATCTGCTAACCCAACTGCTCAGCAATTTCTTTGAGTGCTCATGAGTTCTTGTGTTGTGAGAAAGGGAGAAAAGGACTTCTTTCTCTACCTGCTCCAAGGGTGTAGACTTTCCAATTTCCCGGGGGGGGCTGGGGCTCGACCAGAGGCATTGCTTTGCTAGGAGCAAGGGTGGCTCCCGGGGGAGGCTGAGTACCTTCCTGAAAATTTCGGCGGGGGCTCACGCCCCGCCGCCCCCACGAAGATTACGCCTATGACCTGCTCTATCCCATGCATAATTGTATAAACCTCAATCATGTCACCGCTCAGCCGTCGTTTCTGCAAGCTAAAGAGCCCCAAGTGTTTTAATCTTTCTTCATAGGGAAAGTGTTCCAACCCATCACTTTGCACTTGGCCACTTTGAACCCCATTTGCCACATTGATGCCCACTCGCCGAGTACTGAGCCCTGCAGTACCCCACTGCTTACCACCCCCCACTGAGAAAATTGCCCATTTATACTCACTCTCTGTTTCCTATTAATTAGCCAGTTTTTGATCCACAAGAGGACTTGTCCTTTTAGCCCGTGACTATTGAGCTTACTTAGGAGCCTTTGATGAGGAACTTTATCAAAAGCATTCTGGAACTCAAGGTAAACAACATCTATTGGGTCCCCCTTGTCCATGTTTGTTCACTCCCTCAAAAAACACTAACAGGTTAGTGAGACAAGATCTTCCCTTACAGAACCCATGCTGAGTCTGCCTCAATAGTTTTTGTTCATCAATGTGCCTACTAATTCTTTCCTTAATAACAGTTTCCACCAACTTACCTGGTATCGATGACAGACTGACTGGCCTGTAATTTCCCGGAACTCCTCCTTTCAGTCCTCAGGAATGGAGGCTGAC